CTTTACTGTGGAGAGATGCCTTGTTTTATGCTTCTTAGATCATCCCTGATCTCTTGAGGGTTCACAATGAAGGTTTTATTTGCCCTCTTTGGGGTCCTGGTGTCTGCCAACTTTGTTGCTATTTAAATTTCTTTAATTGAGGAATGAGGATGAGAAGGAATCAAGTAAAAACCAAAACAATATGTGGCCAAGAGTTGGGGTAGGTAGAGGAGACGAGTCTGGGATTCAGATCTACCATGTTCCCTCGAAAGTCCAAACCTTTGCAGGTTGGGCTTGAGCCCAGGTGTGCATAAATAAATTTATGGAGGTGCTTTCCATAACTAGTGACCTTTATGTGCAGAGACTAGATTCTTATCAACATACCCAAAACAGAGAACTGAGCTAAAGCTGGACCTCCACCCAACTCCTGACTAACTGCTGGGTGACACATACATAGAACACCCAAACAACACTGCAAAGCTTATGAAAACTGAATTGACATTGAAACCATAACTGCATGAACTTGTGGTTAGAACCTAACTCTATAGATTGCCTACTGAAACAGACATCAACATTCTTCATAGGATTTTAACCAGATGTAGTCTCATAATGTGCTATTTAAATTTCCTAGGAAACAATTCAAAATTACTCAGTATACAAAGCAATGATATGCCCAACTCAAATGGGGAAAAGAATGAGATCATGCATGTGTGGAATTATCTGATATACAATTATACAACAGCTACTATATAAATGATTGAAAAGGCCACTGTGAAAGTTCTGAGAAAAAAAATATTAAAATGGGTTGAAGAGTGTAGTTTAGTAGTAGAACACTTGCTTAGCATGCTCAAAGCCCATGCCCAGGATTGCAAACTAGACGTTATTTGGGGGAGGGGCAGTGAAATATGACTATAACCCTAGCACTTTGGAAGATTGAAGCTGGAGGCCTTGAGCTTGAAGTCAACCTGGGATTCCTAGCCAGACTGTAATTCATGATGTACTCTTTCAATCCCACCACTCAAGAGGCAGAGGCAAGTGGATTTTTGTGAGTTTAAAGCCAGCCTAGCCTGGTCTACAAATTAAGCTCCAGACCAGCCAGACCTATACAGTGAGACCTATCAAAATTAAACAAAACCAGAAAGAAATATTAATTCTATAATTTAAAATCCACCAGACATTCATTAAAAAAGTATACAAGGTTGGAGAGATGACTCAACTGTTAAGAGCACTGGATGCTCTTCCCAAGGACTAGGGTTTGATGCCCAGAACCCTACATGGCATCATGTAGGGTTAGGACCCTATCTAAGAATCAAGTCTGCAGGTTATCCAACATTCTCTTCTGGCATGCATGCAATGCCAACACACGTGCACGCGCACACACACACACACACACACAGGCAAAACACACATACACACAAAAATTTTAAAAGAACAAAAATTTATACAAATAGATAAAGTTAGAATCAGGATTCAAGAATGTTTTGTTTTTTTTCCTAATCCAAAAAAAGAAAAGAAGGGGAAAAAAAAGAATAAACAGGAAAATAGAGAAAATAGATGAAAAAATGGCAGAACAAAACTGGAGCTCATTGGCCAGTAAGTCAGGTGAGTTAATGAGCTCCAGGTTTAGTGAGAGACCCGGTCTCAAAGAATAAGGTGGAGAGAGACCAAGGAAGACAGTTGATAGTTTGATCTCAGGCCTCTACGTGCACACATATGTACCTTTGCATGTCTATGTGTATGCCCACACGAACACACAAACACACACACAGAAACAGAGAGAGAGAGAACACAGAAAAACCTCGTAAATCTAATGGACATTTATAGAACATTCTGCCCCAAATAGAACACACATTTTTTTCTCAAATGCTTATAGATCAGTGAGAGTCTATAACCTGGCTCATAAATCCAACTTCAATGAATTTCAAAGAATTGAAATCATAGAAAGTGTGTTCTCTGTCCACAATAGAATTAAACCTGAAATCAATGACAGAGACCATAACAGTAAACTCTCTGATTATTTCGGAAATTATACAACATTCTCTTGGCCTGGCAAGATGGCTCAGCTGTCCTTGCTAGGAAGCCTGGGACCCATATGGTGGAAGGAGAGAACAAACTTCTGAAACTTGTCCTCTGATCTCCACAAGTGCACTGTGACATGTGTATGTGTGCACTCACACACACAATCAACAAATAATATGTGGTGTAAGTTTTAAAATGGGCTGGAGAGATGGTTCAGTGGTTCAGAGCACTAGATATTCTTCCAGAGGACTTGTATGCAATTCCTAGCCCCCACATGTTGCTCAAGAGCATCGGTAACTTGAATTCCAGGGAATGTGACATTCTCTTCTGGCCTCTGCAGGCACCAGGCACTTAAAGAATTTATAGACATACATGCAGGGAAAACATAAAATAAATATTAAAAAATCTATTCTAAGATGGGTGCAGTAGCGAATGCCTGTAATTCAAGAACCCTGGAAGGCAGAGGCAGGCAGATCTCTGAGTTTGAGGCCAGCCTGGTCTACAAAGTGAGTCCAGGAAAGCCAAGGCTATACAGAGAAACCCTGTCTTAAAAAAATATATTCTATTTTATGAAGAGAAAAAAATCTAGGAAATTAAAAATATTTAGAATCAAACAAAAAAATGAAGATATAAGCTGAGCATGATGACAGGCCTGTACTCCCAGGTACTGAGGATGCTGAAACAGGAGGAGCTCCGGGGTATGATAATTTAGGCCAGTCTGAGCAAAATAGCTAAACACTTTTCTAAAACAACTGTGAGTTCAAATTGTTTCACTGGTTAACTCTGTTGAATATTTAAAAAATAAGCAACAGTAATTAGATACAAACTTTTCCAGACACATGCAAGACCCATGTGTTTAAACCTATGAAATGCTAATGGAAGTCATTGAATAGTTGGTGAAAATTTCCATGTTCATGTGTTGGAAGACTGAAAAGAGTAAAGATAATGGGGTGTTTCGTCTCTATTGTCAACTTGACAGAACTTAGAATAACCTAGGAAACAGGCCTCTGGGAGGCTGTATAAGAGTGTTTCCCACTAAAGGGGGAAAACCCACCAAGAATGTAGGTGGAACCAGTTCATGGTCTGGGGTCCTAGACTGAACAAAAGATGAGAAATTGAGTAATTTTTTTTTTTTTTATCTCAGGTTCCAGACAGCAGATATACTATGTCTCACACTCCTGCTTCTCCAGCTGAGAAGGGTCCTGGCATGCCTTCCCCTCCTTAATGAACTGTACTTGCAAATTCTCAGTTGAAGTAATTGAGAAGTTGGTTTTTGTAAGATGTTTTGTCACATCAACAAAAAGTCACTAATACAGGATCCAACTCTCAAAACAGCCTACAACTTTTAAAGGATTTCCAATTAACATTGGGGTATGATTTATTCAAGGTGATATAAGAATTTATAAATTGGGGCTGAAGAGATGGCCCAGTGGTTAGAGCACTGGCTGCTCTTCCAGAGCTCAATTCCCAGCAACCACATGGTGGCTCATAACCATCTATATGAGATCTGGTGCCCTCTTCTGGTGTGCATGAAAACAGAGCATAAAATAAATAAATAAATCTTTTTAAAAATTTATGAATTGGCTGATGTACATTGCATTTCAGTGCTTGAACATGTGCTTAACGCACATCTAAGTTCAATGTCAAGAACCCAAATATGAGTAAATCAAATATTATTGAAGGCCAAACTAACATAATTAAAACAATTTTGAAGTTGGAAGCTGGAAGTGGTGGTTCATGTCCATCTTCCCAGTACTCCACATGCCAAGGCAGAAGGACTGTCACGAGTTCAAGGCTAGCTTGAATGACAGTAACATTCGATCTCAAAAAAAGAGAAACAAAATAAAACAAAACTTAAAAAGAATGTATTTGGGGAAATCACACTATCCAGTTTTGTGTGTGTGTGTGCTTGTGTGTACACGTGTGTTCTTGTGCGTATGTGTGTACACTAGGGACTGAACCCAGAGCTTTATGCATGGTGGGCAAACACTTCACCACTGACTTTATCCCCAGCCTGCCACTACCCAATTTTAAGGAAAATTAAAGGGGCAGAAAGCAGATCAGTGATTTTCAAGGGATAGGGTACAAGCATGCTGAAGGGCAAAAGAAAAGGATAACAGTGGCACACAAATGAACTTTTGGGAGTGCTGAACAAATTTAGTATTTTGTCTATGTGGTTGAAATGAATATATATCACATATATAAATGTATAATTTTATATACTTTAAATATGATTCAGATATAGCTCAAAAATATTGCTTTAAAAATTCTTTTCAAGCTAAGCATGGTAGCACACATCTGTAATACTAGCACCTGGGAAATGGAGGCAGAAAGATTGGAAGTTCAAGGTCAGCCTCACTTACACAGCAAGTTCAAAATCAGCCTGAATTACATGAGAGAGACGTCATTTAAAAAAGAAGAGGAAGAAGATAAAGGAGCAGCAGCAAGTGAAATGGCTCCGCCACCTGAGTTCAATCCCTTCAATCTGCATAACAGAAGGAAATAACTGAGTCCATAAGTTGTTCTCTGACAGATTTGTAAACACACACACATACAGACACACAAATAAATAAATGTAAAACAGCATAACGAAAATTATCTGCAATGTGTTGTATTTGTTTTTATGTCCAGTAGGTGGCAGTGAGAACCATCAATTGTGCCATGGTGTTTGAATCATATCCTCAGGCAGTGTTTTAGTTTGTAAAACAACACAGAGTCACATAATCATTATAAATGATCACCAAGTTTCTATGCATGGAGTTTTTGAAGCTTTTGACACAGCAAGTATGGAATGCAAGAAAAGAATATACATAGTCCCATTTCAACACCTAGAGCTGATTGATCATCATTAGGCTGATTGATGGATAGTTTAACTTTTGCATTTCTACAGGATTCATTTTAGAAGAAGACCTAGTGTGTGTTATCAAAAACACTTGTCATTCTCTGGGAAAAAAAATCTTCTACCTTTAAAAAATTTTAAGTAAAGGAATCCAGGGATGGAGTTCACTGTTAGTATATGTTTTTAATTAATATGCCACACCCTGGGTTTATTCCCCAGCACCCAATCAAAATTGTAAATTCAAGCTTGACCATGCTATAATATCATTGCTTCATTTAAAAATAGATTGAAATCTCATTGATGTCAGTCCCTTAATTCTCCAGTTATCTTCAAAGCTTTTTCTTCTGATAGCAAGGAAGAGCTGCAGTTCACCCTGCATAAGAATATGGGGCAATTCCTTTGACCCCAAGACCAGTTACCTGTTGAAAAATAAAGAGTGAAATTGATGAATTATACATGGTCTTCAAAAACCATTGTTACAAAGCCAGGCATGGTGGATCCTACTTGTAATCCCAGCAGTTGGCAGGCTGAGGCAGGATGACTGCTGTGAGTTTAAGGCCAGTTTGAGCTACATAGTGAGATCTTGCCTCCCCCCCCACAAACATCAACCAAGTTTTCATTTACAATAATATGTTCAGCTACTTTTAATAACCCCCATTTTATTTTCTATCATGATAAAGAATTAGCTGACTAGGTATTATATATAATATATATATGTATATACACACACACACACACCCTAGTCCAATGAGCAAGCGTGCACATTAATATAAAACAGTTGATTTCTGTCATATTTTTCTCACCTGCCAAAAAAGAAGAAAGTATTATGTTATATAGCCCAAGGTGGCTTGGAGCTTACCAAATTCATGCTTCAGCTTCCCAAGGGCTGAGATTACAGGAGATTACCACTACAGCCAGTGTTTCCACATGTGTTTTCTTTTCTTCTTATTATTATCATTTATTACAATTTATTCAATTTTTATCCTGGCTGTGGCCTCTTCCTCCCAATCCCACCTTCCTTCCCTCTTCTCCCCCTATGCCCCTCCCCTAGTCCATTGATTTAATCCTAGCCTATCAGGTCTCATCAAGTCTGGTTGCATTGTCTTCCTCTGTGGCCTGGCAAGGCTGCTTCCTGCACAGGGAGGTGATCAGAGAGCCTGCCACTGAGTTCATGCCAGAGAAAGTCCCTGCTCCCCTTACTAGGGAACCCACATGGAGACTGAGTCTATGGGCTACATCTGAGCCAAAGGTTTTAGGTCCTCTCCATGCATTGTCCTTGGTATAATTCTCTTCAGGAGCCCAAGGCCCAGTTTTTATGGCTCTGTTGGTCCAGCTAATTATACTCCTAAAGAAGCTAAATAATAAGGAAGACCCTAAGTAAGATAATCAATCCTCATTCAGAAGGACAAAAGCGATAGACATCGGAAGCAGAAGACAGGGAACAGGACAGGAGCCTACCACAGAAGGCTTCTGAAAGACTACTGATTGAAGTATCAAAGTAGAGGCTGAGACTCATAGCCAAATTTTGGGCAGAGTGCAGGGAATCCTAGGAAAGAAGGGGAGATAGAAAGACCTGGAAGGGACAGGAGCTCCAAAAGGACACCACATGTGTTTTCAGATTCAAAAAGTGTTTCATTTTTATCAGTGTTTGTTCTGACACACACACATACACAAAAATTGTTAAAAACCTGCACATCTTTTTAAGGCATCAAAACAATCAGATGACCTTACAAATACTATTAGAGCATGAAAATATTTTTTAAATACTTGAAGTAGGCCAACATACCATTCCTGAGCTTTACATAACTTATATTCTAGAAAATTGAAATAATCAAGTTTAATGTGATTAGTTTAGCATGCTAAATAGAATTAGGTTTGGAAAGTATATAAAAGCACTGATCAATTATTTAACAAAATACCCTCTATAACCCCTCACGCCACAAAAAAAGATCATATTACCTTGAAAATGCCACCAGCATCAGGCTGCCTCAAAAGGCTTTCAGTGTCCAGCCCGTCCCTGGCACAGGTCACATACATTTCAGAGTAATCCTTCCCTCCGAAGCAGCATGAAGTTGTTTTATCAACAGGCAACTTCACAGTTTGGAGTCTTTTTCCTGGGTCACCAAATATTTTATCTGAAATTTAGTTCTGGAAATTTCTCACATACACAATGTTTCTGGACTTGTTAAGAATGGTACAGATAATCTAAGAGACTGTAGAGGTCAGAATTCATTTCCTAGAGGAAGTTAATGTAAGATTTCACTATAGGAAAAGAAGTTCTGATTATAAATTTGGGGTTCTATCTTTTGCCTTTATTGCCAAAATCATCCAGTTAAGAGCACTACTATGATTCTAACTGTATTCATATTGGTCTCTAGCACTGGTGTTTTCTGGACTGGGAGGGATTTTCTATTTTGCCTCTAGCCTACCTGTCTCAGGATCTAGTCGGATTACTCTTCCTCCATTGTAACAGGCTACCCAAAGCTTTCCCTCTGCATCAATACACATTCCATCTGGGATTTGTTCATCTTTCTCCATCTTGTAAACAATTCTGCGGTTGGCTGTGGTTGAAAACAAAACCAAAAACACAACAAAACAATGGGTCACACAATGCTGAGAAGGAGACAGTGCACTCTCAAGCTGGTTATAAATATTGGTCACTTGTGTTTGTCTAGTGCCTGGCATATGAACAAAGGATTTTTATCACATGATTTGGGATAGATTCAGTCCTTTTGTCTTTATAAAAGACAATTTTATATATACACATATAAATTTTATATAAATATAAAATTGTCTATATGTATACATATATATATATATACACATATATATATGTATATATGTCTAGGATTTCAGAAGGAAATAAATGCTTTTTTTCCTCGTTCTTTTTTCTTTCTTTCTTCTTTTTTTTCCAGTTCTGGGGATAGAATTCAGAGCCTTGTGTAAGCTAGACAACTGCTCCATCACTAAGCCCTATAAAGCTGAATTATTTATTTAGCGACAAGGTCTCATACTATATCTAAGGCTTGCCTACAGTTCATTGAGTAGCTCAAGCTGTCTTTAGAGTCTTAAAGAAATCCTCCTGCCAGACTTCCAAGTGTTAGGATTAGCCTTGAAGAATCAGCCACCATAACATTTTCAGAATTCTTAATAAAGTGTCAATAGGTAACTCTCTGAGGCCAACCTCAACTAAAGCTTTGCAAGCCTATCTCAAACATTCTTTAGTTTGTGGTTAGATCACTATCTTAGTTACCCAAATTCCTATGTTGACCAAGTCTAAGATCTTAATTGTACCATATGAACAATGCATGTACAAAACCTGGGGAGACATATATTCTCTTTCTTACTTGCTACAAATTTAAAAAAAAATATTTAAAGAGCTTGCTTCCTAAAGGAAGGGCATTCTAAAAACCACAGGCTGCTTAAAGAAGATCCACACTGAAAGGCAGAAAGGGGATAGAACTGTACTTCAGTGCATACAGAAAGAAATGAGTGTAAACCCCAGCACCTCAAAAAACAATCCAGAAAAACAGCCAGCTACAGAATTCAGGTCATTCCAGCAATCAGATTGAGATATAACGGAAAAATGTTAAAACCATGTGTAAGAAAATTAGGTAAGAATAGTCATAAAAAGAGCACTACATACTTCAAAGGAAAACATCTGTACTGGAATAGTTTGCCCTTGATTAAATCTACATAAAGTCTTATGATTTTTTTTCAAGTCATTTTTATGATTGGTTTTGTTCTTCCTGTCTGGAACTTTTCATCAAACAGTTTCAAGGTCTCCCTTCTAAATTCTTCTAAATAATTTCTTTCCTTGAAGTTTCCAGTGATGGCTGATTTTACAGAACATTGATGGAACTGGACCAACCTGGAAGCACTTTTCTGTTATTTTTCCATTTCAAAGGTTGCTCATTTGCCTCTGAATACTGGCCTAAGGTTAATTAAAGATCAAATAAGAATCAGGAACCAAAATTTTCAGTCTTCCTTCTTTATCACATTGGTACTGTCTGATAGGGTGGGATTCATTCTCTAAGGAGACCCTTTTTAGTGATGGAAAGGAAAATTAAAGGCCTATCTGCAGTAGGCCATCTACAAGCCCTAGTTCCAAGTACCAGACTTCAGATGTATTGAGGATAACAGTTTCATTGGCAGCATAGCCATCATTATAGCCATCATCATTATATTGGGAAGTTCTCTACAATTTCTAAAATTAAGACTTTTTCACTTAGCCTGAGGAAGAGATCACATACTGATCATGAGCACACAAAAATATGAGTGGTATTATGAAAAATAATAAAGATGTTCATACAAATCTGTCCTGTTTGCAGGTCATAGTCAAAGGCATCCACAGAGTAGGAGAGGCTGTCAATGTAGTAGAAAATTTTATGGTCTAGGGACCAATCCAAACCATTGGAGATGTCCACTTGGTCAAAGTATTTCTTCACATTGTGATCAGGAAAGAGGGAGTACAAGGACCCTTGGTGCCGCTCAAGAACTGCTGGGGCTGTTTCCTCAGCCATGGTACCTTTTTGAAACAAAGAACATTAGCTCAGTCCTGCAGATTTTCATCCTGTGCAAAGTCCCATCCTTCCTCATGAGGGATCATTTTCAGTATTTAAGTCAAGAGAATTTTATACAATCTCAAATGTAAATAACCTCTTTTATATCTTTTAAAGATGGCAATCTTCTTTCTTATAATGCAGATAAAAATCCGCCCAAAGGCTTGTTGTGGTGACACATACCTATGATACCAACACTTTAGATCATAAGACAGGATAGTGAATTTGAAACAGGTTGGTGACTTTGAGGCACAGTTGCCCCCTTCTCCCCACACTTCAACAATTTAGAGATATGGTTTCAAATAAGAAGGGGTAAACATGTACTAACCTCATTTTCTACAACTGAGCACAAGTATAAAACCTGATCAAAACACACAGTTTAAACCAAGTGTGGTGACCACCTCCCCTGTACTCCTAGCACTCTGGAAGCTGAAGGATGAAGATCAGGAGATTGAGGACAGCCCATGACATGTAAACATATAATCCCTTAAAAAATGTTTATGAACTCCTAGGCTCTTCCTTAGCCTGAACACACAGATCAGATTGTAATCAGCATTCCAAAGGTTTTGGGAATAAAGCTAATTAGTAGAACTTTTTGGCCCCATATTAGCTGAGAGGCACACATGTGGGACAGCTCCTCCTTGTATCTAATGCAAAGCAGGTTGGAATGACTGACCTTACTCTAAAAGTAATATGCTGCTTCCTGAAATAACTATGTCATGTTTTAAATGATTTAAACAATGTTCAGGGCCTCACAACATAATGTCTAGAATATTACCTAAAATCATTTGGTGTTATAATTTGGTGTTGAATGTCTCCAAAAGTCCACGTGTTAGAGGCTTGGTACCCTGGGGTGCTGTGGCTCTTTAAGGAGTGGAGCCTATTCAAAGTCTTCAGGACATGGGAGGAATTATCTTTAAAGGTATTATGGCCAGTCTAGTCACCCTTGCTTGCTGGCTCACAAGGCATGCAGTTTGTTTGACCACACATTCTCAGCATAATGTGTTGCCTCACCAGAGGCCCAAAGCAATAGCATTATTTGATCATGGACTGGAACCTTTAAAAACATGTATCAAAATAACTTTTTTTCTCTTTGTAAGGTATTCACCTCAGTTATCTCAGTATTGTGATAGAGAGTTGACTAATACACTTAGAACACAGAGAAAGGTGGATGATTCCATCTCTGTAGGAAATAAACAGATTCTGAAAATTACATGGCACAGATGTTGGAAGGCTTTGGTAAAGACTAATGCAAATCTTATAAAAATAATTATAAATAGTCATGAAATGAAACTCAAAATAGAAAACATTACCAAAGCAGTAGAAGATGAAAAGAATAACCAAACAAAAATAGAGAGTACACTGGACCAACTTATAGCAGAAGAGCATCAACAAGAGTAGAGTCTGTATAGTCAATGTTAGATCAATAGAAATTAGGCAAAGAGAAAAAACTTTGGAAGAGAAATGAACAGAGCATGTAGCCATGGTGAGCAAAAGGGCAATACCTCATTGAATTCCTAGAGAAAAAAGAAAGATTCCAGAGCTGAAGTTTTCTGAAGATTGTGTGGCTCAAAACTCCTAAGATTGGAGAAAAGCACAAAAATTTTCAGTAGATTTAAGAATTTGAGCAAATCTAAAATACAGCAAACAGAAAGAAACCCACACTTAACACACTATGATCAAATTGCTGAAAACCAAAGTCAAATAAAGACGATTGAAAACAATGAAGGAAAAATGTCACATTTCATATGGTAGGAAAAAATGGCCAATTCATTAACAATAAATAGTAATTCAAAATGTGTATTATTTAATAGTAGAGCTTTAAAATACACAAAGCAAAATGTGTCATAACTGAAAAGAGGTAGAAAATAATTGAGTTACACTGGAAACAATCAGTACCCTTCTCTCAATGGTAGACAGAAGCAGATAGAATGTTGGCAAAGCAACAGAAAAACTGAAAGCTGAGTGCTACTGATGCTTACAGAATGCTTCACCCAGCAACAGCAGAGTATGCATACGCCTCAAGTGCTCCATTCATGGAAGCCATTATTCTTTAGTAGTCATGGAAATAGACGTGGATGTCACATGATCTCAGAGGCCAAAGCAGACTCAGATTAGAATGAAGAAACCAGAAAACCACTATTTCATACTTGAAAGAAGATGAAAATAGATTGCAAGTATGAGAAGCAAACATGAATGGGAAGAGGACAGAGTAGGTCCTCCTGGAGTGGGCAAGTCCCTCAGCAGTTTCCTGCTATCTCAAAGATGGGTTTGTTTCATGAACATTCTTTCACACTAGCTGCCTCACAGGAAAAGATGGAAGGACATGTGAATGGGCTATCCTTCTTCTTTTCTTCTTCTTAGGTTGTGCTGTATAGCCCAGGCTAGCCCTGGAATTGCAATATTTCTGCCTTAACTGAGTGCTAGGATAACAGGTGTATGGCATTAAGATCAGCTTTATAACTCTTTATCTGGCAGAAATTATTGGGAAAAAAACTCTCAGTGGGTTCCCATCTTTAATCTTTCAACCTGTATTGGGTGTTATCTGTAGTTGTACATAGTCCAACAAGATGGGGAACTATATACAGCCAGTTTCTCAGACCTTATCTGCCTTTCATAATGATAGTGAGTCACTATAGGAAGAGTGGTATTAGCCAATGATATGAGAAAGAGGTGTGGGAACATATAAACAGAAATGGTGGCCAAGTGTGATGGCACATGTCTTTAATCCCAGCACTCAGGAGGCAGAGTCAGGAAGATCACTGTGAGTTTCAGACCAGCCCGTTCTACAAAGCAAGTCCAGGACAGTCAGGGCTCTATTACACAGAGAAACCCTGCCTCAAAAAACAGAGAAGAGAGAGAGAGACAGAGACAGAGACAGAATCCACTTTGGCTAATTTCCAGGGTAGTTGTGATGGGAGGTAAATGAGAAATTAAGTATAAAAAATTAAATTACAATTAAAATTCTTTTAAAGTTATGTATACACATATGGTGATTTATGTGTATCTATAATCTCAGCATTTGGGAGATGGAAGCAGGATGAGTGCAAGTTTGAGGTAAACCTGGGCTGCAGAGGAAGTTTGAGAGAATCCTGGGCCCCATAGTGAAACTTTTTCGCAAGGCAACAACAACAACAACAAAAACCAGCAGTTATTATTTAGCAGAGGAATGCAGTAGGACCTCAATATCACCAGTGAGGGGAAGAGGGACAGTTTATGTCTCCATACTTGATGCCCTGGGAAGGACAGGACATCACTTCCACAGTATTCCAGCCACAAATGGCTAACATCAAGCTACGCACAAAGAAAGAGGGTGGGTGGGACCATATTCTTCAAAAATGGCAACGCCATAAAAAAAGAGAGATGGGGGGTGTCAAGGAAATATTCCATATTAAGAGGATGGCAAGACAAGTAAGTACAGTATGCGATCCCAAACTTGATTTCTCATTAGAAGGGAAAATTCCTTAACAGACATTATTTGGTCAGTTGATATAACAGGAATATAGATTTATTGAATCAATGCTAGACTTCTGTAAGTTGATCACTATATTGTGTTCATGTAAAATTATGTCATTTTCACTAGGCATGGTGGCACAGGCCTTTAATTCCAGAACCCAAAAGGCAGAGGCAGGTGGATCTCTGTGAGTTCAAGGCCAGCCTGGTGATCCATAGAGTGAATTCTAGATCGGCCAAGGTTGCATAGTGAGACTTTTTGTTTCTGGAAAAAAAAAAAAAGCTATTTTCCTTAGGAAGCACACACACACAAATTATTCTAAAGAGAAATAGGTTTAGATAGAGTACGTATTAAAGCAAGAACAAAAAGCCAGGCACAGTAGCACAAGCCTGTAATCCCAGCACTCTGGGAGGCAGAAGTAGCAAGATCTCTGTGAGTTCAAGGCCAGCATGGTCTATAAATCAAGTCCAGTGGTACCTTGTCTTGAAACAAAGAAACAAACAAAGACAACTGAAAAACAGAACAAAATGTTTATGAATAATTCTAGGTTAGGGTATATATAGACATGTTCATTATGTAATATTACTTTTTGTGGTAGAACACTTATCTAGCATATATAGGTTTTTTGTTCCATCCCACACAACATACACACATACACACACACAGATAGAGAAAGTGAGAGAAAGATTTAAGCATAGCAAATAGAAACGACAAGAAAGATAGAAAGAGAGAGAGAGAGGGAGAAGGAAGAAAGGAAGGAAGGAAGGAAGGAAGGAAGGAAGGAAGGAAGGAAGGAAGGAAGGAAGGAAGGAAGGAATCATACCAGCAAAGTATCTCCCAGCAGGATCCACCTTCCCATCATTGAATCGATTGTTTTTCTTATCTTTATCCACTGTGGCTAGGACAAATACTGATTGATCTTCCCAGTTCAAAGTGCAGAACTTGGTTCCAATGGTGGCAACATAGCCTCCAAACTGTCGAAGTGCCACTGAACTGACTGGGGCATCTGCAGAGGCAAAGGAAATAGCTAGAAGGTAGTAAGCACTCTGGAAGTCTCACAGCACAGAAGTCATTATGTCATGTAACATTTCTTAGGAAAAGGGTCCAGTGATTTTTTTTAAAGATTTATTTATTATTTATACAACATTCTGCCTGCACACCAGATCTTAGTATAGATGGTTATGAGCCACCATGTGGTTGCTGGGAATTGAACTCAGGACCTTTGGAAGAACAGTGAGTGTTCTTAAACTCTGAGCCATCACTCCAGCCCAGGTTCAGTGATTTTTAAGGTACTGAAACGGTGTCTGATGATGTAGCCTCAACCTCAACATTTTCTTGCCTCTTGCCTCTACTTTCTGAATGCTGGTATATGATGTGCATTATCACATCCAGTTAATACTATTTTTAAAAGTATTTAATTTTTAATATATTTAATTATAATTTGTTCCTCATTTCTCAAGTATTTTTGAAAGCATGCATGGTCAAAATAATAGAATTGTACATTAAATGAAATACAATCTATCTCTTTATTACATTACTATATTTTTATTTTAATAGTTTAGCTTATCTGGTTTTAATACTCTTTCATGCACTGAGAAAACCCTTTTTAAGTGGAGATTACCATGGTGAGTATTCACAGGAAATACATTTATCTTAATTTGTTTAGAAACATTTCCTAAGCACCTCATTAATGCTAAATGCTCTTAGCTCAAAGCCCTGCTCAGAAGTTGACTCAAGCCCTTGGGAGCCCTGGGAATGTACAGGACCCTATAAGGGGGTCATGCTTTTAACAAGGATCCTAACTATAGCTTCAGATGCCTCCTGAAAGCTTAGCTTCCTAACCTCCTGCTAACACACAAACCCTTTTCATGACTGGGAGGCTTTGCAGATTAAGGGTAGGAATTTTGTGAATGCTGGGAATGAGAGACCAGGAAAAGCACAGGCAGAAGCATTTTGCCTGGAGCTGTAAATACGTATATGTAAATTAGATACTGCTCCTAGTAGCATTTGAGAAGTGGAAGCAAGAACCTGTAAATTCCACATCAACCTGTGAATCTCACAAAGAAAGTCCTTGCCTGCTAAAGAAAACTAAGGCCTGTGAGATAGCTCACCAGGCAAAGGCTTTTTGCTACTAAGCCTGATGACTTGAGCTAAATCCCCAAAACTCATATAGTGGAAATAAAGACTCCCAAAAGTTGTCCTCTGACTTCCACACACGGTGGAAGGAGTGAACTGCAAGTTGTCCTCTGACCTCAACATGTGTACCATGGCACCAGTGCTTCCCACACAAGACAAAATCAATTTTTTAAAAGATAGCTACTGGGAATGGATTTTGTGGTATGCACAGCCCCTGGATTCAATCCGCAACACCAGGGGAAAACAAGCTTTAAGTTCTCATTTGGATTCATGGGAAGATACCAGAAACCAGAAATTCCTGTAATCCTAGGAAAATCCTGGTATCTCTTCCCACGAATCCAAGGACAGAAACAAACTTGTTTGTCTACTGATAATCACACCCAGCCTACTGCCCTGAGCCATGAAAAGACCTACAAACTCCTTATCTAAAACCACAAATCTCTCTTGGGAGTACTGTCAGGGGTCTCACATTTGTGCAGTGAACACAGCCCTGGTTGACGCTTTTGAAGCCTAACAACTCTTCTTTTCACAAAGAAGTGAGTAATACATCTTACATCTGTTGTTGGCATTTTTTTTAATGGAGGTTTTGGCCTAAGCAGGGTAGATGGCTTTTGCTATGCCACTAATGGAGTCTTAGGCTATGGATGCTATTATCTGAAGGCAACCAGGAAAGAGACACTATAGTACCTCAACATCAAAACAATAATGGGGGACTGGAGGTATAGCATGAGCATGCCTGAGGCCCAGCATCACAGACTAAAGCAAAGGAAGCTGGGAATGCTGTGCTCCATGCAAGAGGATGAGGAAAGTGTTGATGATCCATCATCTCCAAGACACAGAGAACATGACAACCCAAATGGTTTCAAAGCATTTTCAGTTAGCCTTTAACAAGAACCCAGGGCAATGGCAAACATGGTGATGCCTGCCCCCTGCCCCACCACTGGGAAAAGATAGCTAACTGCAAGCAAGGAAAGGAGCTCAGCTTTCATTCTTACCAACAGCCATTCGTTTCACTTGCTTGCTGACTGAATCCCATCGACAAATCTTCTTTGCAGGGATGTCTACAAAGAGCAGAGAGTTGGATGCTTCCTCCCATACTGGAGACTCTCCACACCTGCAGTTCTCCCGTAAAACACATTCAATTTTGATGGAAGACATGTTTGTAGGAAAAGCCTGTTATCGGCAACAGAGAACAAATGCAAGGCATGAAGCAAATTCAGCACAGCACTCAGTACAGATGGCAGGCGCATCTTGTTTTATGGCAATGTGCAGGTAGTACAGTTTTCACAAGTTGCAGAGCAATTCTGTATGCACCAGGCTTCCAACAGCTCGACAGTACTTAGAATTTTGAGCAATAAAGTATTTATTTTTAGTTAAGGTGTGCACAGTAGCATTTCTATACAGTGTATAACTTTTATATGCACTAGGAAGACAAAATCTTATTTGTTTTCTTATAAAATTCATTTTATCACAGCAGTCTGTGACCAAATCTGAGATCTCCTTGAGGTATACCATTACTGGATGAGAATAGAAAAATGGGTGTCTTTCCCCATCAGAGCAAGGTGTGCAGCATGACCGGAAGTGGTATGCAGGAAGGCGAAGGAAAAGCAGATAGAACATGGCATGAGACATCCTCAGTCAACTTACCAGTGAGGTTTTTTTTTTTTTAAGCTATCTCTAAAATAGAGAAAGGAAACACTCTGCCATCCACACCTGGCGGTAATGATGCTCAGCAAGACTGTTATTCAGCAATGCCTTTTATGCCAGCACCCTGACCTCGAAGGGGCGGGTAGCTCCCTCATTGGTGGCTTCTCTGAATGTCTGCAGGTTGCCTTTCTATGCTGTCACCCCTCCCTCATCCATTGATGTTATTGATCTCCTTGGGAGCCAGCCAGATTTTAGAAATGTGTTTATCAGTTATACTGAATTAAGAGGTTTGGAATATGGCTTGGGTAGAAAAGATTCCTAGTCTGTGCTAGGCCCAGGGTTAATATCGAGCACTGTCCTTACCCTCCCAAACCCCCCCCCTCAAACCCATGCTCATTTTCAATTCAGAAAATGGCAGGTGTGAATTATATATGTATATATACACACATATACACATGTATGTATATACATATGTATGTATGTAGAGTGGCTGTGCTGGGGATAGAACCAGGACCTTTAATACAATCTGCTACAGGGCTTCACCTCCAGCTCTACCATGAGTAAATGAACTCATAGCCCCCTTAGTTGCATCTTACTTCCTTGCATGAGGCCAGTTTTTCAGGGAGCCTTGAATCCCACAGGCAAAGAACATTCTATGCTTGGACTTTAGGCCAAAGACTGTGACCAGTGAACTGGGAGAAATTAAAGAAAAGAAAAATTATCAGAAAGAAAAGAGCTCCATCAAGAATTGTCCCTTGAAGAGGCAAGAAACTTTACTATGCAAGTCTGCTCCAGCAGGCGCTAATGCTGATGGAAATTGCCAGTACCTTCATGTTTTTTTCCCAGGTATCTATCTGCTTCGAACTAAGCAGTCCCACACATGGGTGGGCAAATGAATACAAGGAGGAGGGGATGGGAAACAAGTTTTGGCTTAATCTTTCCTTCAATAAACTGCATGCTTTAGGAAACAGCTCAGGCCTGTCTGGAAGTATTAACTACCAGCGCTGTAGCATTTGCCATGTCCATAGGCTGTTAAAAATTGGCCCAGGCTCTAAAGGGCTTTCATGCTATCAATCTTAGATAAGCTCCAAGATCAGACGTGGGACTTTTGCAATAGCATTATTTAACCCGCAGTTTGTTCTGCAAGCTGTGTGTGTGAAGGGGGGGAGGGGCCATTGCTGCCAAACAACCCTTTTTGGCCCGGGGTTTCTGGCTGCAAACTGGTGGCTTGGGCGGGAGTGGGAGAAGAGTGGTGATAGAGGGCTGATGTCAGGGGTCCGTCCGCGCCGCACGTAGAGTACCTGGGCCAAAGGGTATTCTTCTTGCACATGCTGGTAGTGCTGCGCGGCCTCCAGAGTTAGGGTGCAGTGACTGCAATGGCAGAGCTCTGGGAATCTGAACCCCGCCTTGCTCCTGGTACTGGTCTCTGGCTGCTATCTGAAGACTGGGGTGAGCAAATGTAGCTTCCCGGTCGCCTGAAAATCGTTTTTCTGTCTTTCCTACCAAGGCTGTCCTGTCCTGGATATTCACAGTGATAGTGACTGCGCAGGTCACGCAGAGAACCTTGGGAAGGGATATTCACAGGGTTAATGACTGCGCAGGTCACGCAGAGAACCTTGGGAAGGAACACAGAGCCTAGGCAGATTGGTAGCCACAGGCAAGGGGACCGGCGGAGACCAACAACCCTGAGGGCTTACCCTTCTCCCTCATTTATCCAACGCTGTCCCGTCCCCCCCCCATTTCCCCCGGCCCCGCCCCCCCGGCCCCGCCCCCCGTCTCTGGCAACTGGAAGTATCCAGCTGAATCCACTCTGGGCAGGCGTGAGAAGCGGCAGGGGTACAGCAAACGTAAACTTTGGAGTTTGGACAGCTCTCTAAAGTTAATCTCTTAGTTCAGCAAACAGAAAGAAGTTGTTAAAATGCCTAAGGAATTGGGACAGGGATCTGGTTAAACACAAATAGGTTAAAAAGGAAAGAACAAAGCGGTTAAACAAAGCCTTCCTCTCTCAAGCTGGGAAGACCTTGTTGGCAGCAGGCCAACTCTTGCAAAATACTTTTTGAAGGGAAAGAAAAATGACTTTATTTGATTTTTTTTAAAATCACATGGAATTAACGATCCTACACAACATATGCCAAACATAGCTAGCTACACTTTCTCCCAAACACCCTTGAGTTTGGGCTGGCGCTAGAACTCAGTAGTATAGTGCTCAACTGGTATGCCTGCAAGTTTCAAAGTACTTTCGTGTTATTTCTCTTCCCTTCATTTTTGTAGGGTTGGGGTGAAACTCAGGGCCACTCACTTCCAGGTGTTCTAACACTGACCCATATTCCTAGCCCCTAAGAAATTGTTTCTTGACATTCTCATTGTGTAGTCCATAATGGCCTAGAATTCACAGTACTGCTTCCTTCATCTAGAGTTACCAACCTGTATCACCGAACCCAAATCAAACTTAGCCCCCCCCCCCCCATTTTCTTTTGAGTCAGTCTCAGGCAGCATGGGCCGGCTTTAAACTAGTTACGTTGGTGAGAATAGCCTTGAATCCTCCTGCTTCTGTCCCATTTTTCTTTCTTTTTTTTAATATTTATTTTTCTGTGTGTATTTTGCTTGCATATAAATAAGTGCACTGCATGCATATATGCCTGGTGCCTGTGGAAGTCAGAAGAGAGTGCTGCATCCCTTGGAACTGGAGTTACAGATGATTGTGAACCAAAACATGAGTGCTAGGAACAGAATCCATGTTCTCCGCAAGATTAGCAAGTGCTTTTACCTGCTGAGCAATTTTTTCAGCCCTACATTTATTTTTTTCTTAAAAAGTAATTGAGGGAGGTAGGTATAGTGATGCAAGGATATAATCCTAGCACTCTGGAAGCCAGAGGTCACTGAAAATTCAAGGACAGCCTTAGTTTACATGAGGGGTTCCAAGCCAGCCATGGAGGCATAATGAGATAATTTCAAAAATTCAAAATTAAAATAGAGGCTGGGGAGATAAGATAGTTGGTAAAGTACTTACTCTACAAACAGGAGGACCCAAGTTGGGTTCCCAGCATGTGGCATATGTCCTCACATCTATGACTCTGGAGTAGAGAATGGAGGATCTCTGGCAGCTCATCTAGCTAGGTGAATTCAGTCCCCTTCAATATAGAGGAAAGCAAGAATGGATTCCCACAGTTTTCCTCTGACTTCCACACACGCACACTATGACATAAACATGATTTCTCCCTCTCCCATAAATAATTTAGTTTAAAATAAAGCATATTGTTTTTCTTGATATTTGTGTGCTTTATTGTGTGTATATGCTCTAAGATTACATATCCTAAATATAATGTCCCATTCTTTGTCTTCTATACTAAAAATTCCCTGCTACATTCAAAATACCATCAGTTTGGCGTTCTAATTTATAACTCACTAAGAATGAAAGGAAGAAAATGAACAACACCAAGCATAAGAAAACTCCAGACATGTTGGACACAATTAGAACAAAATCAGCTCAATGTTTTCTTTCTTTGGGGACAGTGCTGAGGATGACAACTTAGGCTTTGTCCGTATGCAGCACACATAGTACTCCTGTGCTGCACCCCCAGAATATAATCCAAAGTTTAAAGACAGGAAATAGAAAAATCAGATTCTGGCTTTCTTCACCCAAGGATATACTTAAGACAATCACTCTACTGTGTTCTCACACATCTGCAAAGTAAGGAGACTACCCAAACTATATGTTCAGCTGCGGAAAAACATCAGCAAAACACACTAAGTCATCCAGAGAAATATGAGAACATTTTTTTGGGGGAGTGAGACAGGGTTTTACTCTGTAACCTAGACAGACCCGGAACTCATGATGTAGCTAGCCCAAACTGGTTACAAACTCAATGAGATCCTCAACATCCTAAATGCTGGGATTACAGGCACGTGTCACCACACTCAACTTTGGCTGTAATTTCTAAGCAGTCTTTTCTTGTTCCTGTGTTGTCTTCCTCTGCCTCCTGGAATGCATATGGCTCCCTTTCTATCCTGTATGTCAGCCCAGATCTTTCCCAAAGCTACATCAGGACAGCAGCCTCTTTGAGCAGTGAGCATGATTGGGGAGCAGCCCAAACCAATATTCTTCTTAGCAAGCTTCCTGGTGTGCCTTCATGAATGGCACCATCCAATCAGGGACATCTCACCAGATTTCTGTTTCCTAACGCGTCTAGTTAATCACCACGTCTAAGAAATTCCCTATATTGTAGCCATAGCTGGAACCTGGGTCCTCTGCGCTGGGGTAAGTTTTTACAAAATGGTGCAGATGTCAACAAATGCAGTTTGGTGAGGTGCCCAAGGTAGCAGCAGCTCCTGACCAAAGTGCAGAGATCAACATTACCCAGAATCTGTGCCTTCTTTGGTACAAATGCTTCTGGGTTGAAATGTAGTAGCCAGAGCCACCTTTGCTGCGGGGACTGCTTGCTTTCTCAGCAGCTTCTCCACACAGAGCTAATGAAAGCCAGGCCAAGCAAGACAAGGGTCTGCTTCTGTGCCAATATGATTGTTAATAGGTTTGGGGATAAGTCAGTTAATTGCTTGCTCTGCAAGCATGAAAGCATGAATGCCTAGAACCTACCAGGTGTGGTGGAATGTGGCTGTAATCCAAGTGCAGGGAGGTGAAGGCAGAAGACTTCCTGGGGGTCAAAGGACAGACAATGTAGCCTAGTTGGTGAGATATGAGTTAATGAGAGACCCTGCCTCAAAGGAAGGACATCCCCAGGCAAAGGTCAATAATTCCAGTCTCTTGATGGGCAGGGAAGACAGATGTTCTTTGTGCATTTGATCTGACCAAGTGGCCTTTATGAGTCTGTAGCTGGTCCAGAACTGACTAGTGTGGCCTGAAGACTATTGCTACAACCTCCATGGAAGCTTCTGTGGCCCTCATGCTTGGATCCAGGGTCTTAGTGGTTCTCACCCTACATTAGTGTCATCTGCCCTTTAATGAAATCTCCCTTTAATGGCCTTCTGGTGATTTTGATACTGCTTTAATTCATTCAGGCCTCTACTATTTCTCTTCTAGATTTCTGCCTGGGGACTCCATCTCACCTCTCTGGATCTGCTGCCAAAAAGATTCATAAGACAGGGAGTCATACTGGTTTGGAAGTGGTGTTTGTGGCCTTTATTTTCTGTCATCAACCATGCTGACACATAACGTTTGTTAAAATAGTCACTGTTTTATTTTTATTTTCCAGGGAGAGAAAACCTTATTTTTTATTTTGGCCCTTTTGAAACAGAGTTTTTTTTTATATAGTCCTGGCTGTCCTGGAACTCAGGAAAGTTCTCATAGAATTCAGTTCCATGTAGAGTAGGCTGGTCTTAAAACTCACAGAGATATGATTGCCTGTGCCTCCTGAGTGCTGGGATTAAAGTTGTGTATCACTGCACCTATCTGGGATAACTTTACTTAAAAAAATTTCTCATCTTAGAGAAAATTTGTATCCTAGTTTCATTTCTGCTGCTATGTTTGGGCAAGAAGGGGTTTGTTTGTTTATTTGACTCAAAATTCCAGTCTATTATTAAGGTGAAGTCAAGGCAGCTAGTCACATTAAATCCACAGTCAAAAGCAGGAAGAAATGGATGCCACATGCTACTCACTTGCAAGTGAGCCAATTCTCCAGGCCCTATTTAATTTTTTTAAAGTGTATTACGTGTGTGTGTTGCCTGTATGTATATATCTGCACAATATGCATGTCTGGTACCTATGGAGGCCAGAAGGAAGAGGTAGATCTCCTAGTTGGGATTGAATGGTGATTAGATAATGGATCAGATAATTGTGAACCACCAGGAATCCAACCTGGGTCTTCCAGAAGAGCACTCAGTGCTCTTAATCAACCTATGATACTCACTTCTTCCTCCATTTAGGTTCTAGAGATCAATCACAGGCTATCAGGCTTGGTGGGGCAAGAGGCTTTTAAAAAAAAACCTACAAAAACTGAGCCATCTTTTTGGCCCTAGTCTCCTATTTGTATTGATCCATCACAGTCACAGAAAGGCCTTCTCTGATGTTGGTAATCTATGAACTAATTCATATTCAACAAGAGAAGATGAAGGCCTTGGCACTCCATCACTTACCTATATCCCTAGCATGGCACAATTTTTATGAAACCAAATTGGAGTTAATAATGGGAAGAACTTAACAAGTCCTCCAACAAGAAATGGCTCTAGTCTAAGAAGAAAGCCATCAGAGTGATTTTTTTTCAGCCTTGTATGGTGGCATACACCTGCCATCCTAGCATTTGGGGATGCAAGTGTCAGCAGCAGCAGGGACAGCTCTACATTGTAGCCTGTAGCAGCCTCACGAGTTGTCTTAATAGATTTAGGGACCTAAATACATTTAGGTAAAACTAGAGCCTTGGCTCCACCACAGCAAAGATTTTCAGGATGAGCCAATAAGGAGCAGAGTTGAAGTTCAGGAAAAAAACGTGAAGAAAAGCAGGCAGCCGAAAAAGCCAGCACACCCAAGTGTGTGAGTATGAGATTCTCAG